CTTGCATTGTTGTAATATCACTTGACAGATTAAAAGTGGTTTGTAGTTACTAATCCTTGAACACCTCCGTGAAGTATTATCTCTGTTCCTCGTGTGGAAGCCTCAGAGGAATGGCACCGGGGAAACCATGCAATTGACAGAACTGGGAACTAGAAAAAGACAACAATGTGGCCTTCATCTCAGGTTCATGCTCAATCCCATTTTGCCTGCTCACTTTGAGTATCTGAAAAGCACAAAAAGTGTACATCACTTGTAAATTTTTGACAAGTTCCTTCAGTAATGGGCCCTTCCCTATCTGTCACCATAAAATATCTCACACAATAAACAGTTTTTTATGCTAGTAATACCAGGTTATTAAGCTATTAGAAAGGAAAATGGTCTTAAAATTTCCTTTAGAGCTTTATTCTTTGTTCATTGCTTGCCTGTATTTCTCTAATCTTGGATAAGCAGGCTCAAAGTCAGTTTACCTTCCCAGTTCCCATTGTTGCAGATTTTAGGTTTTCAACAGTGTAGAATAGCTTATGTCAAAAAGAAAAAGAAAAGTTTACAGTGGAATTTGAGATATATAAGAAAATCTCTTAGGCCTCATAAAACCTTATTTTTGTAATACTTAAGTTTGGGCTGTAATTGAATTTTCCTTTAAACTATTAACCACAAACCTTAAGTAATCTACCCTGAAGTTTAACATTTGAGGTTTATCATTGTTGTTAACTTGTTTGTTTTTCCTTTTTTTTTTTTTAAATATGGCTATATACAGAGACCTAAAGGACAAGGAAATAAAGGTAAGTTCCTCTTTTGTGTCTCTGTCAAAGTCCGTGAGCCTACAGTTTGTAGAGGTAAATGACTGTTCAACCAATCATATGAAGAGAATGTAACTTCACAATGCTTTACAATCCATTTTATCACAGCAGCACAATTAGAAATAGGATACCAAAAGAATATTTTCCAGTCATTTTAATATTGTACAATGATACATCACTATAAAAATGCTTTTATCTGCTGACCAAAGTAAACAGTTCATGAGTAATCAAATGATAAGATGATATAATTATTTCCATATAGCTATCTTTCAGGGAAAATGTTTGTACTATAGCTGCGCAAGTAGGCGTAGGCACTTGAGTAGGGTTGGTGTACTAATACCAGATGAGAGGGTCTTTTGGATAGATAAACAATAAAGAGAGATGATCATGCCAGTTTCAAGTTTCCCCATAACTGAACGGAATACATCCCTCCAGTTCCAGAAATCTTCAGTGGTTTCTTTTTCATTTTGACTACAGTACAGAATATTCTTCCTAATATTTTTCTAGTTTCTCTCTTCTTCCCCTGTCACTGCTTTGCTTATGATCTTTAAATACCACACTTGTTTTGGCTTTCTTTGTCCCCACAAATTTTCCTTAACGGTTCTCCTTCATACTCCCTGGAAAAGCCGATGTCTAAATGACTTACTGACTTTTAGAATTATATTTTTACGATCGCTTTCTGTTCTGACTTTCTAATCAGCTGTTTTGTAAATATCATTCGTTTTCTTTGATGCCCTCTGTTTTTCCTTGCTTAATTTTGTAAATGTGTATTCATTTGCTTGGGAGCTAAGCAGTTGGGCTGTGCTATAGTAGACAGAAAGCAACATGTATGATGTATGTAGTAAACATGCTTCTTGCTGTTTTCACATGTAGGAATTATCTTGTGTGAATGCCTGATAATAGGTAAAATAGCATGTAATATAGTAGGAAGGTGGTCAATGATATTTAACATTAACGTGTGTTCTTGAACTGTGAGCTTTATTTTGTTTGTGTGGGATTTTTTTCATAATGTCACTCTTAGAAATGTTGCGCTTGTTACTAGAACTCCAAATGAAAGAGGGTTTTACCATTCATATTGCATGTTTACTAGTTGAGTTGATCAAGGATCTCTCTAGGAACTGTCACTTTACATGTTTGTTGTCTTTGTCCCTCTCACTCCTATGCTCTGTCTGTGCAGTTTTATCTGTATCCACAGTAACACATCACATTGGTACAGGTGATTCCCAATTTATCTTTTGTACTTGGTACTTTTCCTTGGTGTTCCATCAGCATCTCGGGTTGTAGCTAGTGAAAACTGAAATTTATCTCTCACTTTGTCCATTATATCACTGCATAACCTCATACCTTCCTCCATTTTTGTTCTCTCACTTTCGTTACAGCACCCTTCCCAAGGCTGGCTTTTAATTGCCCCTTTATGCTTCTCCCCCCTCACCTACCCCCTTGTGTAGGCAGACAATGTGAAATACAAAACTACCTCTTGTTCTTAAACATCAAAGTTACTGTATTTTCTTGTGTTAGTTTTAAAACCTTAACAAGGTCAAAATTTGTCCACTGCTGTGCTTTAACAATAACATGTATTTGAAGTAGAATTTAAGGGGTTTTATTTCTGTTTTGTTTTGCAAGCATTTGATATTGAAAATATGGTAGTCAGTTTTACTTTCATTTATCTACACTAGCATAGTTTGGTGAGATTTGAGACTACTGCAGAATGTGTATTTCTAATAAAACTTTTTTTAGAAACCATATCCTGGTCAGACTTAATTGATCTCTTTGAACTAGGCAAGATTCACCTCTGGAAAAGACAGTTCCAGCACCAAATTACTTAATAGTTAAGGTAATACATTTTAACAGATTAAAGAGGAAGTTAATGAGAGTATTTTGGTGACATAGACTAGTTTTGTGGGCAGGTAGCTGAGTTATTCAGGTCGTGTCTGCATTGTCAAAGACCTGAGCGTGGGGCTGTGGCTACTGTGCAACATGGCATATCTGTCTGTGGGTGGAATACCTGAAATGCATCCACTGTAACTGCCTTATTAATGTGTACCCGCTACCACTTTAAACATGCTTTTGTGACATAGCTACTGGTGTGCACCCATCACTTCTCTAAGGCAGCTACATTGCATCCATTCTAGGTTTGTACTGCATGGTGTAGACATGACTTTAGAGGCTGTTTCAAGGGTATATATTAGATGCTTGTGGTCTCTACTGCTTGAGTATTAACAGTTGGTAATTGCTTACAGGTAGCATGGCATGCTTGTTATTTAAGGAGACTTTGAGGAAAAAGTGTACAGGATTGGCAGATTACTTTGGGGAGTGCATTCCATACTTGAGGGATTAGCATGGTTGAAAATGGAAAAAGGGCAGTTAATGGCATCTGGAATGGAGGTAGTAGGAAGTTAACAATAATAGTAATTGGGGTAAGCTATCATGGTTTAAGAAGGCACACTGTTAGGATATAAGAGGAGGTATGTTCTCTTTATTAAATGATACTGTGGAAGTGGCTAAATTGTGTGGTCTAGTTCAATTTATTTTGACACCGTGTAGACAGCTCATTACAAATTGTGGGGGAAAGCACCATGTGCCAACCAAAAATACTGAGATTTTATTTTAGTTTTAGGCCAAAAAAAGCCTGCATTTTGTGCCTCTATGAGAACTGATTGAATAAAATGTTCTCCTTAAGTTTCTTTATCACTTAAAATTGTCATCGTGTACACAGTTATTGACACATTGTCAATTAGAGCAGGTTTCAGTGCATAAAAAGTAGCTTTTAGGAAAGTTTGGTTATTCACACAAAAAAAATCTTTTTTCCTTTCTATTTTGTATATTGTAGTACGTTAAAACTAAAGCACATGTAGAACTTGATACTTTCCTGTTATCTTTCATTTTACACAGTAACGTTTTCTTAATTAAAGCTGTTTAGGTGTGTGAAGTCTCATCTACACTGAAGTATAGGAATGGAGACTTCATATACCTATCTTACACATTGGTTAAGAAAAACTGAAATCTTTTAATGTAAAGTTAGTTCTTCCATCTTTGTATCCCTAGCTGGTGAAGATCAATGTACCATAATAATTTTCTACCAATTATTATCTAAAGGTGAAAAAAATAAAAAGACCACAAGAGTGTGTTCTGCATTTGAGCTATTTAAAATTTATGACTTAATTGTGTACCTGTAAACTGTATTTTAAAGAACTAAAAAGAAATATTTCATGTTCAAGCTAACATTTGAGGTAGTGGATTTTTGGGGCACTATGGACTAATTACTAGTTTGAGCTGGGCAAAGATTAAGTTGGAACATTGTTTGCTTAGCTTTCTTGGAATGGGGCATGTACTGTGGTCCATTTTTAGAACACTCTTTAAATATGTAGGGCTAAATCCACTATTTTCAATAGGGTAGTCCAACATAGAATGAAAAGCTAAAATAAAACATTATCAATGCTGAATTTCATCTCTAGGAGTATGACAGCCTGGCAGTCTAGAACTGTTTTATGTTTCTGTGGCTTAGGATGTGGCTACAGACAAAGTAAGAAAGCAAATACATTTTTAAGAAAGATCCAGCATTAGAAATCTCATGGCTGGACAAAGTAAGACAAACAACTTAATATAGATTTATTTTTAAAATATCTCCTAGACCACCAAAAACACTCATTTCAGATTGAAATTTAATGCGGATTCTTAGTATGAGAGAATTACGTCGGATAGAAGGATTCCGCTGCTGGCATAAGCGATATGTTTCTCAAACTGTGTTTAGTAGGTTGTTTTTGTTTGTTTTTGAAAAATTTGGATTCCTTAATCATCTTATTATTAACCACTGCATCTGAGTTGTGGCCCTATCCATACTGTTCAGTTTAGACCAAGCAATGAACCCGTTTTTTTTTAAGTGACATTGACAATAGACTTTTTGTGGATCCACCATCCTGTGCAGCTGAGCCGGACATAAGAAGAATTGTATTCTTTCAGCTCATTAAAGCATTTTTATTGTTTGCACTCAATTTAATATGAGTATATGCACTTCTAGTTTTTGTTTCAATACTGTAACTCAAGCGATGTATTTTTATTTTGGGGAAAAGTCTAGGCAACTTCATTACTTTACTTTTAATTCATCTTATTTGAACCTTTAAGTATTTCTGTGTCTCAGTTTATCTGTATCCTTCCCTCCTACCCCTTCCTTTTGTGTTTGGGGGGATTTTTATTTATTTATTTTTTTGGCTTAACCATTTAGCTGTGACCTCAAAATATGGTTGTTTTTGGTTTTTTATATAATTGTTGTGGTGTCAGGTGTTTTGTAACTACTGCCTGAATTGCTGAAAAACTAAAGGCTTACAGGAATTAGGCATGCTCTTAATTTTTATTTTGTTAAAAATACCAACAAGGATTCTGATTATATATAAATGAAGGGACTGCATGCACACTTGCTTCCTACTTAAGACATGAATAGTCAGCTTCGGGAGCTGGTACAGTAGTTTGTTTCACTTACATTTTGTTGACATCATAAGTGATCTTGCTAAATGATTCCTACTACTTAGTCACTATAGTACAGCTTTAGCTTCACAGTTGCCTTTGATTATATATAATTGCAATCATGGAAACTTTACAAAATTGTTGGGATGGGGACAAGCTAGTTTGCAGCTTAAGTTTTTTAAAATGAGTGTCACTCAACTCTGTAAGTCTTCAGCTTTTTAGTTTAGATTCATGGCTGTATATACTTTTTCAGAGGATTTTGACAAAAGAAGGTAACCACAGAAACAACTTTTTTTGATTCCAGTCAAATACCTGAGTCAGTCTGACGCATTCTGCTTCTCATGCTTGGAACTTTCTGTTTCAGAGTGGCTAAAGTGGGTCTTTAAACATCACCCTTCTCACTAAGTTTATTGATTGCCAACCAAAGAATTGCACATGAGGAAAATCACACAGCTTTGAAACTCAGCCTTCATCTGTAGAATGTATAGAGGATGGTCAAGAAGCTCACACTCATGAATTTCCCAACCACCTTCCAAGTGCCTCACTTTAAACAGGTTCTAGCCTGCTAATGGCTGATCTTGCTGGGGTACACCTGGGAGAAATGTGTTCATGGCTTGTGAATACTCATGTATGTTTCCAGAGATGTTTACGTTCAGACTGGAAACTCCTTGAGGCAGGGACCTGTCCTTTTATGCCTTTACAAAATGATTTAATGTACCATACAGTAGTCAGTGTTGTTTGTATGCCACCCTAATACACTAAGCTGTGTTGTGCAATGAAAAAAATCTGGCATTTTTACATTAGTTGATACTATAAAGTTAAATTCTGTTGTTTAGTGGAGGTTGGTTGAGCATGAACTGTGACTTAAGAGTTTTTGTTCTGCATTGTGTAGGCCTTCTGTAGACAACAATACTGAATATATTTGTATTTTTTCTTGTAACTGCAGGAAAAATGATTTGCTATGACACACTCCTGCACTGTGAAATTATGCCAAATAAGTGTGCGTGCAGATACGTTCTTCTGGATAAAGAATTCTGTGCCATCAGACTTCTATAGTGTATAAAACATTAGTTTTCCTTTTCTTTTAATAGAAAACATTCTAACTGTGGTATCTTAATTAGAATACTTTTTGTCAATATTTTTACCTAAACAGGTGAACTTGATAAAATGTCATTAAGATTTAAACATTTAGGAACGTGTATTTTAGTTGCTTGTAAAGAGTATATTATGTATTTATTAAAATGACACTTTAAATGACATTTTCCAAGACGCTTATTGCAGTCACTTTGTGTCTACTGGTTGTAAGTGCATAGTAGAATTTGCTGCCTTATTTTGTTTCCATTCTTAGATAGAGAAGCACTGGTTTTCAAATGCTCTAAAATAAATTCAACAAGTAATTGTATAACAAGATGTTCCACATTTCACCAAAACAAGAATACAGGCAATTGACGGTACAGATAGCAAAATATGTGGAATTGAGTTGGACTTAATTTAAAATTACAATAAAGCCCTTCTAAAGAGCATTCCTAACATAGACTTACTTTTAGTTTCAGTACAAAACGGTTCGATTCATCAAAAGGATGCAGTAAATGATGATGATTTTGAGCCATATCTAAGTAGCCAGACAAATCAGGTAAGTGATATGAAATATATTTGTAGTTGGTCCAATTAAGTTTCCTTCACCTTGGATAATATGTATGCAGCTGATTGCATGGATACTAGATGTATAATTTCATGATTGGCATATACCAGGGGTGGGCAAAATGCGGCCTGGAGGCCAGGCCATTCTATCCAGCCCGTGGCCCCCCCCCCAATTAAAAAAATATATATTTATCTGCCCCTGGCTGCCTGTCATGTGGCCCTTGATGGCTTGCCAAAACTCAGTAAGTGGCCCTCCACCCAAAATAATTGCCTGCCCCTGGCATATACTGTCATTTAAAAACTAAATTTTTTAAGAGTTACTATTGAAAACATTAAAAAGTAAAAGTAAAAAAATGGAATTTTAGTTAAGAATTTTCCAATGTTAATATATTTGTATATTTTAGTATCCTTTAATTTTAAACAAATTTTCCAGCTTTTTCGATCTTAAAAGTATTGTTTATCATACCCTGAAAAACAGTTTATTGTCCCCCGGTTCCCTGCCCAAAAAGCAGTTCCTTGGCTAAGAGTAATATTAGCTGTGGAGACTTGATTTTCACTGAAGTTGATGAAAATACTATACACGATTGATGACCTAATGAATTGAAATTTAATGTCACCACCTTCTTGTGTGTAACTTTTATGACAATAAATGAATGAAGAGTTTTGAATTCTGTATGCTTCAGGAATGCAGATTCATTTTAAAATTTTTATACATCTAATTTAATAATTAAGGAACATTTAAAAGTTGCAGGATTCTTTAGGAGGAGGAGGAAGTGGAGATAACATAAATGGCCTTTGGCATTTTTCCCTGCCTTCCTATCTCCTTTAATGTCACAACACTATACTGAATTCTGCTGAAGGAAGATGGCATATGGCATTTTTTTCAAAGCAACATCACATATTTCAAGTAAGTTTGTGCTGCATCTTCCAAAAGAGCTGAATAATTTGCCCTCCTAGCAGCTGTATTTCAGAAGCCTTGGGAGCAAGCAGATGTTTCACTAGACCATTGAATCATGTTTGAGATCCACCCTTAAATAGTTAGAGACATAGGTTTATTTCTATTATCTCTGTACAAGACAGGCAAATGCTTTTGTACCCTCCATCAAAACACTGAAATCTTATTTCTTACTGGCATTTTTATTCCTAATAAGAATACCAAAAAATTGCAGTCATACTTACAAATCATGAAGCACTATTTATGGATTGGCAATATTTATAGGTTTCGTTTTTAAAATGCCTTTATTTAGTAGTTTTAGCATTGTCTGTGGCACATGTTTTGAATGAAGTTTTTTGGCTTAAGGATGGGAAGATGAAAGTGTTAAAATATAGGGTGATACAGGGGCTGTTTAAGTACCTTTGACAGATTGCCATCTTTGCTACAGACCCTTTATTCATCTCACTACCTTGTATAAACAACATTCAGTCACTTTACATCTGAGAAAACATGTCAAACTATATTAGAGATCCTTGCATAGATAATATTAGTACTTGAGTGCTAAAATACTAAATACTGTGAGAACTTAGCCTTTAAACATAACTATCTTTGTTATTTGTGTGCTTTGCTACTTAAGAGAAGTTGGTGCAAGCAGCAGCTGTTCATACTAACTTCAGGCCACTTCTATGTATGTGCCTGACAATTTTAAATGTAAATCAATATTTAATGTGGGTGCTTAGCTTATGAATATTCCAGCATTTCTCTCTAAAGCTGTTCTATATCAGTTCTAATTCTGTGGGTATGAAAAATGACTTTTCATAAATAGCATATACATTTCTTTTTTCTCTTCTTTTAAAAATAATTTTAAGAACAGTAATACATGCTTATGGCTCAGAATGCCAAATATATGGAATTATAACTAAATTCACACCTAGCCCTATTTAACTGCTTGCTTGATGTATTACTTAAAGCTTTAGTCAGTAAAACTGAATGGTTTGAGCTTTTTTGTATCAGTTTTTTAGGAAAGGCTAAATGATTTCATGTTTCTCTATTAATAAGTTATAAGGAAGCCTATTGAATGGCTTTGTATCTGAAGAAAGAACAGTTGGGTTTTGCAAATTGAGGGATAACAGTTTTATGTCTCAGCACTTGTGTTTCTTTCTTGAGCATCTTGTTCATGTCAATGCAATAGACTCTTTCTGATAATTGAGCATCTTAAATCTAGCTTTTTGAACGCTTCTAGTGTTCTTTATTGCTCTACTTTGACAGGTTATTCTCCTCCTGTCTTGCTGACTTTAGGATGACAACTAGTACCTTTACTTTATTACATATTCCATTACATATTTAACTTTTTTCTCATGACAAGAGTGTATTTATACTCCATTCAGTTTTGAAAAATGTTGCTTCTGGTATTTATAAAGGTATCAGTTTCGAATAAAAAATAGTTTGACATTTATGCAGGAAAAATAATTGAACATTAGAAATGGAATGCTGGCATTTCTTATGGTGTTTTGTCTGGCATGCTTTCTTGAATTATGTGCATAGCACTGATTTTTGCTTTATTTTCTTGCAGAGTAACAGCTATCCACCAATGTCAGACCCATACATGCCTAGTTATTATGCTCCATCCATTGGATTTCCATACTCTCTAGGTGAAGCAGCGTGGTCCACTGCAGGAGACCCTCCGATGCCATATTTGACAACCTATGGACAGATGAGCAATGGTGAACACCATTACATACCTGATGGTGTGTTTAGTCAACCTGGGGCATTAGGAAATACCCCTCCATTCCTTGGTCAGCATGGATTTAATTTTTTTCCTGGGAATGCAGATTTCTCTACATGGGGGACAAGTGGATCTCAGGGACAATCAACACAAAGCTCTGCTTATAGCAGCAGCTATGGCTACCCTCCCAGCTCTCTTGGTAGAGCCATAGCAGATGGACAGGCTGGATTTGGCAATGATACTTTGAGCAAGGTGCCGGGGATTAACAGCATTGAGCAAGGCATGACTGGACTGAAAATTGGTGGGGATATGACAGCTGCTGTGACAAAAACTGTAGGTTCAGCTCTGAGCAGTACAGGTATGACCAGCATTGCAGCAAATAGCGTGCCCCCAGTTAGCAGTTCAGCACCTAAACCAACCTCATGGGCTGCCATTGCTAGGAAGCCTGCTAAACCTCAGCCGAAACTCAAGCCTAAAGGTAATGTGGGAATTGGAGGCCCTGCTGTGCCACCACCACCTATAAAACACAACATGAATATTGGAACTTGGGATGACAAGGGGTCAGTGGTGAAAGCACCCCCTATCCAACCAGTACTGCCTCCTCAGACTATTATCCAGCAGCCTCAGCCATTAATTCAACCACCACCATTGGTGCAAAGCCAACTGCCTCAACAGCAGCCTCAGCCACAGCAACCACAGCAGCAACAAGGACCTCAGCAGCAGGCCCAGCCTCACCAGTTGCAGCAGCAACAACTGCAGAACCGCTGGGTGGCTCCTCGTAATAGGGGTGTGGGCTTCAGCCAGAACAATGGAGCTGGCAGTGAGAACTTTGGTTTAGGTGTTGTACCTGTCAGCTCTTCACCTTCTGGTGTAGAGGTGCATCCAGTGCTGGAGAAACTAAAGGCCATAAACAACTATAATCCCAAAGACTTCGATTGGAATCTGAAGAATGGACGTGTGTTTATAATCAAAAGCTATTCAGAGGATGATATACACCGCTCCATTAAGTACTCTATCTGGTGTAGTACTGAACATGGTAATAAACGTTTGGTAGCAGCTTACT